ATCGGCGTCACATGGAATTTACGCCGACCGACGTCACGACGGGCGCCAGGTCAAGCAGCGCATTGCTACCTGCCTTATGGAAGCCGCACGCGCATCTGCCCACCACCCGGTACCATGAGGACGGCGTTCCTTTTTGGTCGCCAATGCTGTCGCCCAGGCCTGCCCAAACTCGCAACCCGCGCCTTCACGCGTCCATCCACCGCCGCCTCCCGCTTCCGCCGTCAATTTGCGACTCCAAACTTCAAGGGTAGAACGATACTATGGTCCGGTGCAGCTGCCGGAGCTGCGGGCGGCGCAATACTCAGCCCACTGGCCTTCGTCGACGTCGCCAATGACAAATCCGGCCATGGAGAGAAGACGCATGAGGAGGCCATGCTCGAGGCGTCGCGGAAGGAGCTCGACGAGCAGGTGCCCCACGCGCTGAGGCACTCTACAAAGTACAGGCGAGGCATATATTTCTTCGTCGAGGACTACATAATCGAGCCCATAGCCACCGGATTCCGCTTCCTCCACCTCATCATCATCTTCGTGCCGGTCATCGTGACAATACCTGCGATATGGCTTGGTTCACGGCAGCCTGATAGAGACAACGAGCGAAGTGGCACACTATGGTGGTATGGCTTCTTGGTTGGCTCTATGGAGAGGGCTGGTGCGGCCTTCATCAAGGTGCGTGCCGTTACGTTAGACTCAGAAGATGTCAAGTAGGCTGACTCTATTATAGCTCGGACAATGGGCTGCCTCCCGAACAGATGTCTTTCCAACCGAGATGTGTTCAATCATGTCCACCCTCCACTCCAACGCCCCGGCGCACACATTACAAGTCACGAAGCGAACAATCGAGGCGGCTTTTGACGGACAGAGCTTTGACGACATCTTCGAGGAGTTCGACGAGAAGCCATTGGGTGTTGGCGCAATAGCACAGGTATACAAGGCGAAGCTGAAGCCGCACCTTGCGACTCTGGAGGACAACAGCATCGACCGAGAAGAACTCAATCTGGCGCGGCGGATCAAGAAGAATGTCGATGTGACGCTCAAGAGCTCACCCTCGAGAGTACCATCTAGCCATGTTGCCATCAAGGTTCTGCACCCCAACATTGAGAAGATCGTCCGGAGAGACTTGCGTATCATGGGCTTCTTCGCCGCTGTCATTAACGCTATACCCACGATGGAGTGGCTGTCGTTTCCCGACGAAGTGGAACAATTTGGCGAGATGATGAGGCTGCAACTGGATCTGCGCATCGAAGCCGCGAATCTCACGCTCTTCAGGCGTAACTTCAAGGACCGGACGACAGCCTGGTTCCCGTACCCTTACACTGACTACACCACGCGCAATGTCCTTATCGAGGAGTTCGCTCAAGGCATCCCCATGGAAGACTTTCTACAAAATGGAGGCGGAGTGTTCCAAAAGGACATTGCAGACGAAGGATTAGATGCGTTCCTCACTATGCTCCTCATCGACAATTTCATCCATGCCGACCTACACCCGGGAAATATCATGGTTCGTTTCTACAAGCCTGAGCAGTTGGACGTCTCAATATTCGCCAAGAAGGAGGACCGGACGACCGGCCCCAAAGAGTCGCTTGATGTTACTGAAGAGGTACTCGAGCGTCTGCGACCACACAAGAAGAACCCGAAGCAGTGGAAAGCGAAGTTGCAGGAGATTGACAACGAGGGGTATCGACCACAGCTCATTTTCATCGACACAGGTCTTGTAACGGAGCTCAATGCGAAGAACCGCGCCAACTTCCTTGATCTCTTCAAGGCTGTCGCCGAGTTTGATGGTTACAAAGCAGGTCATCTCATGGTTGAGAGGTGCAGACAACCAGACGCAGTACTTGACGGGGAAGTTTTTGCTTTGCGCATGCAACATCTGGTGCTCGGAGTCAAGAGCCGTACTTTTGCTCTCGGCAACATCAAGATTGGAGACATTCTCAACGAGGTTCTTTCCATGGTACGAACACATCATGTTCGCCTTGAAGGCGACTTTGTCAATGTCGTTCTTAGCATCCTCCTCTTGGAAGGTATCGGAAGGAGCTTGAACCCTAACTTGGATCTCTTCGCCGGGTAAGTGATATTACAACGTGCATCTAGCCATCTGCTAACGTAACCAGTGCTCTACCAATACTGCGACAACTTGGTGCACAAAGTGGCTCGTCGATGATTCGTGGAGGCGACTTTTCGATGCTCAAGGTTTGGGTTGGTCTTGAGGCGCGCAGCTTCTTGCAGGCCTCCATTGATACGGTATGCAACAGGACACATGTGTTGCGCTGCATCACTAACAATCTCTTAGGTCGAGCGATACGTCAAATCCGATCAACTATCACCCAATGTATAAGAGGAAGACGGGCGGTTGTCTATTACATGGGATTCCCTTCGTTGTTAATACTTCCACACGTGTGTTAGCGGTTGTGACTGGCTGGTATGAAGGACGCAGGCTGTGCTTGGAACTGTGAAGTAACGGTACAGTGCATCGTCGTTTGAAGGTATTGATCTATAATGTGCAGACACGGCGGACGCTCTGAGTTTGTAGGCAGCTTTCTGTTTTGTTTGGCTCCCCGTGAAGGGTACGCGTAAGGGCGACAAGGGTCTCGCGTGATGACGTCACCCTCGTGTTAAGCTTCACAGCTACAACGCAATACAACATCCCTCCTCTCAACCACACTACACTTTTCACTCGTATTAGTTGAACTTCTGACATATCCGCTTCTCAAATTGCTCGTTCCAACCCCACAACCCCCATTCACCCGAATTTAGCTCTTTCCTGAGCAACGATGGAAGCCGGAGCAGCCGGTGTGCTCTACGCAGCCGAGAACCTCCTGGAAGCCGGTGTAGCTCTCGTCAAGGGCATAACTCACCCGACATTGCCGATCAAGGCAAACCTCACGCGCATATCCTCCGTCCCACTCCCTCGCTCGCATCACACCGTCTCGGTAGTCAAAGGCCGCGCATACATCTTTGGTGGAGAGACGGAAGCTGGCGAACTCGCAGACAATGACATGCACGTTGTCATTTTGCCGTCGAGCGGTGTTCTCGACGCCGACTACACCAAATACCCAGCCCGCGCGGCCAATGGCTTGGACGATGTACCGAACTCGAGAAGGGGACACACGGCTGCGGTCATTGGGGATAGCATCTACATGTTTGGTGGCAAAGGAGATGGTGTAACAGATGAGAAGGGGCGGGTCTGGGTTTACGATACGGTTTCAAACACCTGGACCTATCTTGATCCAGCCGAGGGCACGCTGTTCCCCAGCCAGCGAACTGGCCACGCTTCGGCGAGCTCAGACCTCCCAGGCCCCAAGACGACGACGTACGTTGAGAAGGCACCGCAAGCCCCCGCCGATCCTGCGAAATACGTTCCCGAGCCGCCGGAAGCAAACTCATACGGAACAATCTTCGTAGTTGGAGGGCGCGAATGTTCGAGTAGCAATCTTGCCAACGATGCACTTGCGTTCGACGTCAAGACACGAACGTGGACCAACATACCTTCCCCATCAGGTCAGCCACGGGAAGGTGCAAGCCTCGCGCTCGTTGGCAGTCGCCTCTATCGGTTTGGTGGAAAGGGCATCGAGACATTTGCGTCAGGTGCGACCGAATACGTGGACGCATCACATGTGTGGACACATGCAGAGCGCGGGACTACGCCAGTGACTAGTGGGTGGGGCTGGGAAGAAGTGAAGCACACCGAGGGTAGCACCGCTACAGCACCGCAGGCGCGCGCAAATGCAGGACTCGTGGACGTCACCACAGGTCAAGGGCGACACTACTTGCTAGCTGTCGGCGGAGAGACTGAGAACGGAGATTACCTCGACGACATATGGGCACTGCAGCTCGCACCCGAGCGCTCCACGGCCGCAGCGACTAAGGATAACATACGCGCGGGGTTGAAGAGAGATACGCATGAATCGCAATGGGCTGAGGCGATATATCGATACGTAGACACAAAAGGCGAAGAGGAAAAGGAGATTCCAGGAAAGCCAAAGCGAGGCCTTGGAGCGAGGGGGCATTTCGGTATCGCCAAGGGTACCGAAGTCGACGGCGCGACGTGTGTAGTCTGGGGTGGAGTCGATGCAAACGGCAGTGTACTAAACGATGGTTGGATGATTACTGTTGACAGGTAGTCCGTCACGTTGTGCGCTTATGGATACAAATGAAGAACTTGGCCGACACGCGTCTGCGACCAACAATGCCTGGCTGTCTAGCACGTGGCAAACCTATGGATCGTCACCACTTCTTGCTCTCCACCATTCCAGCCTGTTCTTGTCTTTCTGACTTTCCAGCGTCCTCTCTTGTGTGTGCGCATGACTTTGCGCGAGGTTTTCGCTATCTCAAGCGCCTTGCCGTTGATAGTGCCGTGGAACAGACGCTTGGAGCAAGTATCGGCGCTGCCATGCGCGACCAGGGCAACCGAAACCCCAACAACCTGCCGAAGCCACGCTGCACCACATGTCACCTCGCCTTGGTGGTTTTCGCGCATCGCATTGGATGCTGTCAAGCGGACTTGGTGCCTTGTAACCGTCTTCTCGTGGCCATCGCGATCTTGTTGGTGGGTGGGTACAAAGGTGAAACAACAGAGCTGGCCCAATCAGGAAAGTGGCAGCAACAACACCAGCAATACGCCGCTCTGGTGAAGCCAGTACCCGCTTACAGCGATATATACAGCCCTGCGAGGGCTTGGGACCTAATTCAACAGCCACTAGCTACCATCGAGTGGCTGACAGCGGTACGAGGCCTGTAATGACGGGAGGGCCGACCCAGTAGAGTGCCGTTAGTAGACAGGACAGGGCCTGGGGCTTCTAGGCGCTATGCGTCCGTTTTATAGGTCATGGAGAGGATGGGGGTTAAGTATATTGCTTGCCCGGGATGTTGTGCGAGCGACTGCACCCAAAGACGAGTTTACGGGTTACGCTGCGGTTGAAGAGCGCGTACAACAGCAGCGGCTGCAGTCAGCTCATTACAATTTCTCAAGGAGCAAAGAAGATTTGGAAGAGTTGTCAATTATGGGTTGGGGTAAGTCACTACCCAGCCGACTGTGCAGAGAGACGAAAAGCGCTGAACATATTATGCATCGATAGGTGGAGACTTGACACTGGTGAATGGTTCGCCGTTCAGTTGGACCTTGAATGGCCAACATTCGTATCAAATGGATACATGGAAATGGCCAACAATCAACGCTGGTGTGTATATCCTTGATCGAGAGGAATACCGCCACTGACCACGTGAAGGCCAGGCATCAAGAATATACGTCGAGTTTGGGACGAGAGGAAACACCCGTGACGATGCAGGCGAGGCGTACTACAACATCGACGGAACATCGGATAGGTTCACGGTACTCGGACGGAAGCCTTCGGACTATGCACTCACCATATCTCTGGATGACATGTCGACAAAGCAGAGTTTGAAAGGATCAAAAGTCGACTTGGGATTTCGTCACAATGCTGCTGTAAACTGGATCATGTCCACTGATGAAGCAGGAAACTGGTGGTCAAATAGCGGTACCTACGCAGATTGGATGCAGCAAAGCATCGGTTCGCTGGCAAACAGAACGCTAAAACACATCTGCATGCCAGGCTCTCATGATGCCGGGATGGGAACATTCAAACCTGGCACTATCGGCGCGCACTTTGCCAACACTCAGACCCAGTATCTGGATTTCTATCAACAACTCGAAGCCGGCTCACGGTATTTCGACCTCCGCCCGGTGCTCTCGAGAGGCGACTGGGTAGCTGGTCACTACGGCCAAGTTGGTGACATCTGGCTTGGCGGAAATGGACAGTCCCTCACAGACATCATACAGCAGATCAACGACTTCACTGCGAAATATCAGGAACTCGTCATCATAAATCTCAGCCACACTCTCGACACGGACAACCAGTACAAAGACCTCACGCAAACGCAATGGAACGACCTCTTTACCACACTAAAGCGCATCAACAACCGCTACACGGTCAACAACCCCGACACCACCGATCTCTCCACGCGCCGTCTGGGTGACTTCATCACAGACCGTGCCTCCGTTCTCATCATCGCGCAGATACCTAATGATGTGAAACTAGGCGACTTTGCAAACCAAGGATTTTACACGGGCCGCAACTTTCCTTTCTACGACGAATACAGCAATAGCAACAATCTTGCTACTATGAAGAGCGATCAGCTAGCCAAGCTGAAGCAAAATCGGAACATTGTCGCGGAGCAAAGCGAGAGGAAGGATATGTTTCATATCTTCTCATGGACGTTGACACAGCAGCCTGAGGATGTGTTGATCTTTGACAAGGCCATCATGTTCGTTTCCCTCTATCCTGTCTTCATAAACACACGAGCTTTCCCCAGACACTAATATACCCTTAGGAATATGGCGGCCTCCGCTTTCGACGACCTAATAAGCGAGACGTGGAACGCGTTCACACCGCAAAGCTTTCCAAACGTGCTGTTTGTAGATAGTCTAGGAGTCAGGGATAAGAGTGTTGTTTTCCCGTTCGATAAGCCAAAGCAAGGGTTACCAACAAACTCCGATATTGCTGCGTTTGCTGTGGCGGTGAATAATGGGATTGCGGGGAGGAACGGGGTTGTGACTGGGAGATGATAGGGGATGAATGGAGATGTTAAGAGCGGTTTGCCATGATCCAGAGGATACAAGTATTCGAAATACTACATGTGTGATAAGTCATAGTTGGTCTGTATAGACGCCTATTATGCCACACATCATTATCAAATTTGTTGGCCAATGCTTCTGCGTAAAGTTGGCTCGTTCGCCTGATTGAACCGGGCTATCGGTGTTGTGGGGAGTGGAAAGGTCCGGAAAAGTGGAGGTTCTGATAACCAGATCTTTCTCCCATCTCAGTGGTCTCAAAGCCTAGCATTCGGGGTGTAGAGAAGCATACCGAGCTCATCTGTATCAGTCCATGATGCAGTATGCGCATGAGACTGTGTATGATTGGCACAAAACGTGTAAACGGTGAGCATCTTCTTGTCGTATTGCTCGTCAGGCCTCCCCGGCATGCTCGGCTTGATGTGCGCTCTAAAGCGAGATGGTTGCGATGAAAGTCTTGTTTGGAGGCGCAAAAGTCGGTCAAACAGCCATAGTGGATCCAGGTAAACGATTTCCGCTCTCTTCTTCCTCATCGCATCTCGATCTCGGTTGGACGTTACAATGATCTACATTTGGAATACTGATCATCGCTTTTTCGTGCAGGTACCCGTCGTCGAAGATCTGCGACTGATCAGCAGCGGGGTGCCAACCCTCTGTGCGACAACCAAGTGTGCCGTTCGCGCAGGTTACCGATGCTTGCTTTATGGGCATAGAGCAATGTTTGGTTCGACCTATCGCCTAATAGTTCAGACATCGTACGACAGAAGGAAGCGCTGACGGAAGAAAGCATCTATGTTAGTGGAGAGAAAAGGAAGGTGTCTCCTAGCACGTCAGATGCTCTGTCGGACTCTGACCCCTGAGGCGTCATGTAGGTTGGCTTTCCAAAGCTGCAGCCGTCATGCTCATCCTGCAATACGAGTACTTGCGGAACTACGGCATGCGCCAAGTGCCATGGGATGGAGCGGGTGCTTGTTCTTGCTTAGCAAGAGAAGCGATACGGGTGGTGGACGCCTTGCTTCTCCACATAGTTTGCTTGGCTCAATCGCCCCTTGAGGATGCTTGATCGGACGTAAGAGGAGAAAAAGTATACAAAACGGCAGTCAATATTGACCGTTCGGATAGTCGACCGTGCTATCCGATTGTTGCCATTTTGGCAGGGTAGATTACTAGCTCCGAGGTGGAGTACAGTGATTGTCTGAGTCGAACAAGGGTCGAAAGTGACTCTCGAGATCCCAGCTCGCGCGGCGTCGGGAAGTGGAAGTTTTCGATTCGCGACCGGTAGTCTACGTCGCAGTACTGGCCACAAACGATCATCGCAGCCGTTGAATGCAGTAGGCCTAAGATTTGCTAAGGATCGGTCGTGCTGTTGCTTACTCCTCCGCACGAGAAGGGTTTGTCTATCGCAATCTCGTTTCTTCGAGTCAAGCGAACGGGACGAGGCTGAAGAACCTAGTCATCTCAGCAAAAGCTTGTCTCATAACAGAAAAGCAATATATTAAAATAGACTCGGTCTTTATTCCTTGCGATATCCCCGAGGCATATACAGCTCCAGTTCTGCATGCCCTGGTGGAGTGGAGGTTTTGGAGTTGCTGCCTGAATCAGACGTGCGAGTGGTTAGCTGCATGAAAACGAAGAGGAATACGAGGTCCTCCCGTGCCCCTTGAATCCAATTGCATCGTCGCAAGAGTTTCTGTATCCTGCGCGGCTTGCAACAGTGGTTGCGTGCTGCACGCCACCATCATGTGGCATGAAATTTCTGCGTCGGTAAGCGGTAGTAGTTCGCGACGAGTGTCGATAAATCGAGACGTGTGTTGGCGGAAGCAAGCATGCTGTATAGTGCTGAGGGTGGGAGCGCTTAGATGGGCCTCGCTAGACAGCGCACGTGATTGGCTCATCTTAGCCATCGGAAAGCCCACTCGACTCCAATTTTCCTCGGAAGTGCGGGTAGGTACCTGGGCCAGAAGGGCCAGAAGAGACATCCTCCACCGCAGCGGAATTGCGCATCATGCTACCTTTCGCGGACGAATCTTCATGCAATTGCATGGCTGTGCGACAGAGACTCGGACTCAAACGACTGCTTACACGATGCCTTGTTGGTGATGCGGGGTGGATCTCTTAACCCGAATAAGCTCTCTCCAAGAGATGTAACCGTCGGTTGGGCGTGCTCGGCAGCTGTTGCCAATGCGCCAGTGCAGGTCGATGCTTTCGTGGCTCAACGCCATGGCTGAAGGGCCGTCTACTCGGATTACTGAGTGCGGCACCGTCAGACTGTCTGACCGACAATGGAAGACGTCACATCGCCTCGCCCGCGGGGTCCTCCAATAGCTAAGTGATAATTTTCTAGCGTCTCACAGCAACATCATCGCAACATGTTGAACAGCGACCGCGCGAAACCGATATGCGCCAAGCAACTGGATAGTGACAGGCGGCAGTGGAGACCGGCTGCTTGAATCACTCGATGTTTCGAGCAATTAGCGGTCGACAGCCGTCACGTCAGAGGCGTTCAGGAATAACATTTCGGATGGCACTGATAGCAAAACACGTTTCAAACGGCTCGGATCAACAATCACGTTCTATTTTCGCTCCACGACGTGACAGCAATGCGGTTCCTGCATGGCAAAGGAGCGCGTGCCACCAACAACCCATGAGGAAAGCTCCCAATCGCGCATCATGTCCGCCCGAAGCGAAGCCGGCGCCGCGGGTCGAGAGCTTGAATCTGCCAGTGCCAGGGGCCCGCGGCACACCAAGCTTTCTTTTCTACGCTGACCGGCATCTGCAGGCAAGAGTCGAGAGCGCTAGTCGTAACGCGAGTCAACCTTAGCACCAGGCCTTTACGGGGATTGCTGGCTAACCGTCGATCATTCTTACCCTTCATAAGATGATTCTACCCGCATGCCGTGATGACTTTTCTTGGTACCTTCTGTTCGAAGTCCTAATCTTACCTTCTTGTGATCCGTCTTTCGTTCCGGTCCAAGGTCCTTCAGTGTGTCGTCGTTATTGACCACCACTATCCACTCGCTCATCTCTTAATCCGACTATCAGAACAACTTTAATTCCGTAATTCGAACCGACCACATTCTTACAACATGCACTACTCCGCGGCTCTCGCTGCCGTTGCAGCTATCACTCCTCTCGTCAACGCCCATGGCGCCGGTCTGCCCAACATCATTGGCTTGAACCCGAGGGACCTCCGGGCCCGCGACCTACTTTCTCGCACTGGAGCTCGATTCACCGGAGTTAACGAGCTTCTGCAACCCAAGACTCAGGTCAAGAACAAGGTCGTGGCCCGTCAGGACGACCGCCAGTGTGGTGCGGGTGTCGGCAACTGTCCCGCCGGTCAGTGCTGCTCAGGTGCTGGCTACTGTGGCACAGAAGACGACTACTGCTACTCTCCTGGATGCGATTACGAGCACGGCTCTGGCTGCCCTGAGAACGCCACCCCAGGAGGTACCAACACCTCTTCCATCGCCCGTACCAAGGTCGGCAATGTCGAGTACGGTGGCGCTGGTATCTACGGCTGCACCACGCCCGGCACGGTTGCCATCACCTACGACGACGGCCCACAAAAGGTCTTCACCAGCCATATCCTCGATGTCATGGCTTCCTACAACGCCAAGGCTACTTTCTTCATCACTGGAAACAACATCAACAAGGGACAAATTGATATCACTCCCGAGTTCAGCAGTGTTCTTAAGCGCATGGACTCTGAGGGCCACCAGCTTGCTTCTCACACCTGGACCCACTTGGACCTGAGCGCCGTCTCCCAGCAGGACCGTTACAACCAGATGATCAAGAACGAGATGGCTCTTCGCAACATCGTCGGCAAGATCCCCACCTACATGCGTCCCCCGTACTCCAGCTGCACTGCTGAGTCAGGATGCGAGAAGGACATGGCTGACCTCGGTTACCACGTCACATACTTCAACCTTGATACTGTATGCACTTCTTTGATCTCTTGAAAGGGTTCAATTGCTGACACTAGGAACAGGATGATTACGAACACGACAGCACCACCCTCATCCAATACTCCAAGGATGTTTTCCTGGGCAACGTCACCAGCGGTCCCGCCGCCAGCAACCAGTGGCTCGAGATTGGTCACGATATCCATGAGCAGACTGCCATGAACCTGACCGAGTACATGCTCTCCACCCTCACTCAGCTCGGATACAAGGCCGTTACTGTTGGTGACTGCCTTGGTGACCCCAAGGAGAACTGGTACCGCACTGCTGGTGGTGCCGGCTCTGGCAACGCGCCCAACCCCGCCACTTCTGCCGGTGCTCCCGCTGCCACTGGAACGAAGCAGGTTACCCCTGATGCTACTTGCGGTGGTACCAAGGGATACACCTGCTTGGGATCTACCTTCGGTAACTGCTGCAGTGCTGCCGGTTACTGCGGTACCACTTCGGCCTACTGCGGAACTGGCTGCCAATCTGGCTTCGGTAACTGCGGCAGCAACGGTGTTGCCCCTACCACCACCACTAAGGCTGCCACGCCTACCAAGGCTACTACCTCCAAGGCCCCCGTCGCTTCTGCCGCTGGCAAGGTCTCCACTGACGGCTCATGCGGCGGTACTTCTGGTTTCACCTGCGCTGGCTCATCCTTCGGTAACTGCTGCTCCCAGTACGGCTGGTGCGGAAGCACTACTGACCACTGCTCCACTGGCTGCAACTCCGCCTTCGGTACCTGCACTGGCACTGGAGCGTCTGCCACCAAGCAGGCCGCTACCACTACTAGCAAGGCCGCTGCTGCGCCTACCAAGAAGGCATCTACTGACGGATCATGCGCTGGAACCTCTGGCTTCACATGCTCAGGCTCCTCGTTCGGAAACTGCTGCTCCCAGTACGGCTGGTGTGGAAGCACCACCGGTCACTGCGGTGCTGGCTGCCAGGGCACTTTCGGTACCTGCAACTAAGGTCACCAATTGGTGACTTTCCCTTTCTGTTTCGTTAGAAGTAGTGCGCCCATATGAGGGGACGAGCTGTACATGTGTATCAACATAGGGCGGCGTGAAGCCTATCAATGACATGACGAGGTCAAAAAAGGAGCGATTCTGCGTTCATATCCGTGTTTTCATACAATGAAACCTTTGTACTTCATTAGATGAAAACCACTGCACAAACCTGTACCCCAGGTGTTGCGAGTGGACTAGCAACGAGGATTAGATGTAGAGATTCGCATTATCGAAGCATGAAAAAGCATAAAAACGATCAATACACAATAAACATTCAGTACCTTTCATGCAATCCCTCATTCGGCCACTCAAGACGAGCTTATCGCAAGATTTGTAACACTGTCGGCTTACTGCCACATCACTGGTTCCTGCACCAAAGGCGCTGAGAATATTTAAGCTGGCCAGCGATTTCATTGAGGAGCGAGTGTGTTTAAACTACCACCAAGGAGATACATGCAAGTCGCTCGTGAGAGCCGTCATCCCAGTCTACACCAGACACTGCAGGTCTAATGTTGATGGACCATGTCCCTCCGAACACTCCATCCTCGTACATTCCCCAACCCGAAATGGGCATCAGAATGTCAGCTATCGTCGTTTACTCGGGGCAAAGGCCGTTCTCAGTCAAGAAGTCGCCGAGAGCATCGACGCACCCAGCGCAGCCGCAGAGCTGAGTCAAGTCAATGGGAGTGGGAAATGGAAAGACAATGGGAGGAAATACCGAAGGAGCACCACCGGAAACACAGGCAACGACTGCGGCAACGCCAGCGGGTCCGGTTGCAATACCTGCTGCAATGCAGAAAGCGGCACCGACAACAGCAGCGCAGTCGAAGATGCTGCAGTCGGCTTGCTGGGCAGCGAACTGAATGGCACTGGTCATCTGTTGGCTCTCGCGCTTGGCGATCTCGTTGGGAGCGGCGGCAGCGAGGCCAGCAAGGGCGGCGATAGTGATGGTGGAGAAACGCATGTTGATGGTTTGAGGAGGTGTTGAGCGAAAGGCTGGTGAAGTAGTGAAGGTAATGATGTTGTGATATTGAAGCTTGGTGAGTTCTTTCAGGTCGACTTCTGGCCGTCCTTTATACTTTCTCGTCCTCACATCATCCTCTGTCTTTCTACATCACCGCTGAATTTGACCGGTCAACTCTTCCAGTCCTCTCGGACGCACACAAAGTTATCACTGTCCCGAACTGGATCACTGTCTCGGGGTTGAGAGCCTTCCTGAGGCTATTACCACATAACTGGCCGTCATTCTGCCCACTCAGCGTTCTGCGACTACTCACCGCAGAGCTTGACTGACATTCATGAGGTGCACACGGTGTTTGTCGACTGGCAATGACGGTGGTGGTAAGCTGATCGCATAAGGGGTGGAGGTGTCCGGACGTCGAGACACAAAGACAATGTTCTGGGCGATGACTATGTGCATGCAGCAACCGGCATATGATATTCGCAGAATAGAACTACTATCATGATTCGTTGTCGTGATGATCTCAAGCACCTTGGCGGGATCAATGTAGTGAAGATCGCCCTAGGTTACACGACAGTTAATATGGCTATATTACTAGGGCTGGCCCGGTCAGACACTTACTAACTTCTTCTCCAGTACATCGTATGTCTTACATTGGCCTGCGGAGGAGGCGCTACTTACCCCGAAACGGTTGTGGCTGGGGAATCTGCTACCGAAAGCGGCCGCAGTAAGGTTGACCGCACATGCTGGCTGACCACTGATTGAAGCCATTTGCCAGCACCAGGCGGTCAAAAGAAGATGGGCTGCTTAGTTATCTTGGCTCTCATGCAGCCAGCACTTTCATGCAGCCAGCACCTAGGTACCCGCAGCGCCTTCAGCCTCTGCCGTGACTCTAATTCGAATGCCTATCCCATCAAGACAGACTACATCGTCCTGTTATTTTTGCAGAGTACTCGTATAGAATGCGACTTCGCTGTTTGTAGCTTTCTATTAGTAGAGTGGAAGGTAAATCCTTTCTTCGATCGACATTCACGCTGCATGTCTTGAACCAAGGTGCCAGGCTACATTATCTTATTCTCGGCCTAGATTCTGGTGAGCACGTAAGGGATGAGGCGTGTAGATCTACCTTAACGATTAGTGGAGAATGGCAAGTCCCAATGTCACCTCGGCATGCGGTAGAGCGGGCAGTCTCTACCTAGTCTTTGAGTAGTCAGAACTACTGTACTCGCAGAATGAGCAGCCCCACGTGTTCGGCTCGTCGCGCACATGCTGTAGTTCATTAGACTCTTACCCTAGTCAACAAGGTGTAAGAAGCTGACTTCAAGCGCTCGGTCCACAAATAAGTAAGCAGATCGCATGCGAGAATACGAAAGCACACACCTTTCTTCTAGTCAGCATCTGCCTAACGCGGTCGGATAGAGATGATCTCGGAAATGCAGAGATCTGAGCATCCAGAGAACACAGTCCTTCAACTGAGACGAGTGGCAACATCGCTATGCTAGAGCCCCACGATACAGCTATGCGCCCTTGACCCTCTTATGTTCAGCTGTATCTGAGTGGGTCTGCACGTGGAAAGCGATCTATGGACAAACCACTCATAGTTTTAGTCACATATCGGCGAAATTGTCCTTTGCGGTGTCCATGTCCCATCTTCCATTCCAATGCGCCTGTTCTGATGCGTAGAAGAACTTGTTTCGTGGGACTTTGAGGTGGACGGACGTGATATTGTCACTCCACTCCTTGTACTTTGCCAACGCCATTGCGCGAGCAGGAACCCCAGCGGCTAGCTGCAAGAATACGGTAGACTTGTCGATGGCGTCGTAGAACCTGTTGCGGCATTTCAGTTCCACTTCCTTGCAGGTAAGGCGGAGAGACCGGATGTCGCAAGAGGATACACCATTATTGTCGATAACCCAAAGGAAGAGTTCCATTGGAAGGTTTGGAAGTGATGCAGCAGGATGTCGCGATGAATCTGGCATTGCTGGATAATCGTAGCGGGGGAAGTCTATTGATAGCATGACATTCAGTTTGCTCATGCCGTCTACGAGCATAGTGGTGATGGTTTTTGTGTTGTGCTTGGTGACGCAGATGAACTTTTCGACTATGGGTCTGCGTGGACCACTCAGCCGGACGATCACCTCTTCGGATCGAACCCGAGACGTCAAAAAATGGCCCCAGGCCGATCGGCTCTGGTCCCCGTAAGTATTCTTGCCTTACTTTCTCAGCGCATGCTAATAGGAGGCGCAGGTTGATACCCCCGCCCCATCTCTCCACGGCCCTCCCTTGCACGCCAACCTCAGAAAAAGCTGAACACCCTGGAGTCTACGTTGATGTTAGGTCACCTACTTTGCAAGATTTTGTCTTGATGTAGTCTGCAGACCTGTTCAGCGTTTTTCTTGTATGAGGTGCTCGTACAGACTGATTCGTGCATTACCAGCCGACGAGCTCGATGACGATTTGCTGGATGACGACTTTGACCACATCAACGCCGCCGCAGATTCACTCACGGAGGGCGACAGCACGGACATCTTTGAGTATCAGGCCGACGGTCATGCTGTCCACGTAGGGACCTTGTACTTCCACCCGGAAAGCCGGTTCACTCCCTGCTTCGTAAAGACGGGGGTAAACGTACTCTGAGGCATAGTCGGATCGGCTGCGCATAGCAGACGACGCAGCTCCTCTGTGCCACCAATCGGTTCGTCCGCCTTGTCGATCCAGCGCCTGACAAACACCTCCCATTCCTCGAATGTTGCGTCGCCTTCTTCGGGTCCGGCCATGAGCATTTGGCCCTGCGAAAATGCCTTCCATGCCTCATTCTCCTCTTGTTCATGCCCCAGCGCTTCGGCGTCAATCTCTTCGTCATCATCTCCTCCGAACTCCATTCCCTCTACTCGCCTGTCCATCTCTTGGCTGCGCCCCGACCTATCCTCCTGCAGTGTCTTGCGCAATTTGTCTTTCGCGCGTTAAGTAATACCTCTCCGCTCATATTCGCGCAGGATGAGGTGTTCTTCGAGCTTCTTCCTTATCTCCACCAGATCAGGCTGGTTGGCACTCTCTGCCAGCGCTCTGTACCTTACGACGTTCTTGGCTGTTATCTGGTATGGTTCGTCGTGGGGGAGGTGGCCGTGGGCTTGAAGCGTCTCGTGCGTTTGTTCGAGGATGTTGTGGAGTTCGGCCTCGAGCTTCTCGTACTGTGGATCTGAGGTGACGAGCTGGCGTGCGCGTGCGTCGATCTCCTCCTTTAGCGACCGGCCTGATGACTCTGCTGATGCATTCCTATTTCACTGTAGGCCCACGAGATCAGTAAACGTCATTTGCATGCGAGGAGGCTGAGTAGGCAGGAGGATACGCAAAGAATAAGTACTTACCAGCCTGTTCGACGGCGAAAAGAACTTTCGGATCGACGCGCTGGTGAGCCCCACACTGCCCAGCCTAAAGGAGGTTACGTCTCGCCTCCCGAAACCGTGCTGGTCGTAGTTGAGCATCGTGGTTGGGTTGGTGGGGGCATGGTTGAGCAGTGCGATGGCCTCTTCGGTCGAGTGCATGCTCTTGGCTTCCTGTGCGGCTTGTCGTCTGAACGCGTACATTGAGACGTAACAGAGAATTCCGATAGAGAGACAGAACTGCTGCAGCTTCCCGTTAAGGGCCCTTGCTCGCATCTCCTGTTCGACGAGGAGCTCACACTCGGTATTTGCCGCGACGAGTACAGCCTGCTTGGCCACTTCCAGCCTAATTGCGGGGAATCGATCTGAATCTTTGCTGAGAAGGACATCGAGATGGTCTACAAACAATCCGCGAGTATACGCTATGGAAGGTCAGCGTATGAATCTGGTTTCTCGGCGTCCACGCTTTACCTTCAGCGAAGAGGAGCGCGCTCAAGTCGAGGTGGAGCCGTTCCTGTTTGGGGGCAAAAAAGAATCGGCGCGCGCCTTGCTCGTTTCTCTGGTCATGCGGATCGTTGCTTCCCTTGAGATAGTGGAAGGTGACAACACAGCAATATTCCTGGTCGAACTTTTCGAACTTGAGGTCTGACCACCTCAATGTATGAGATTTGGCGCGGGTGGGCATGGACGCGCTTATTGCACCTCCGAGCGGTGCACCTTTGTGGTAGCCTTTCCCAACAGTGATGCTGCCAGGTCGCGCAGACGTGATGTGCGAGAGTACCCACGCTATATAATGCTGCTTGGTATTGATGACACCTTCATGTAACGACGTTACCTCTGCGAAGAGAAGGCCCAGCTCAAATTCTCCGAATTCATTCTTTTCACGGTGCTGTGTCGAAAGATCCTGCTCAACTGCTACCATATGGACATGCCTCGAGTGCGATACTCACGTTGGATGGTTGCGAAGTTGGGAGGGTGGGTATCGATCCAGTACTGAAGCGCGTACTTATGACCGTAAAGCGTCCTGGCCTGGAAGAAGTCAGTCACTGTCCAACGTGGGGATATAGATAATACATGCCTTGATCTTCTCTGATAGTGCGCCTTCCGAAACGGTCGCCATGCACTCCAAGAAACTACAGACATAATCAATAAGGGTCTCGCGGGCGTACATTATCGGTTCGTCGTCGATATCGTAAACGGTCTTGCAGTACTCGAAGAAGTTGCTCCGCGCGAGTTTGCGATGGTCAATGGTTGTAGGCGCTGATTTATCATAGAATCTGGATCTCTTGGCGGTGATTCTGAGCTCTTCCTTGCGCTCGTTGGTCAGTCCAGCCAGTTGTCATGCCATGCGTGAGGAGGGCGGCGCAGGTGGTGGTAGCGTCGCCATAGCGTTCTACTGCCCAGGTAGACTGCGGAGGTTGGAGGGATGGTAGAGGTCTTGGGGGGTGGATGCGCGGAGGGGTATCTTTTAAACTATTCAACGTTTCGGGCGGGTGAGAGGCCTGCTTGGGCAGGTGCTGTTCGTTGATGATGGGCGTGGGACGCCGGGGGGCTATTACGTGAGGATAACTTTGACCGGTACTGCGTCGGGCTGTTGGGACGCTTGCGTGTGTCGGTGCTGTTGGAGGAGAAGGGTAGGACGCTGAGAAACTAATGAAAGCGACTGCAAGGGACTAGCGGTGAAACATGTTGAGTGCACATGCAGTGTTTGGGTAGGTGAGGTTTGCTTGGCGCGTGGGTTGGGAAGTTGCAACGCACCACATCCTATCTCACCTCGCGGCATCTGGTTCCTCTTCGCTTCTTCTCTGTCAATATTCATCCGCTTCCTACCATATACTCGGTCCTTCTGCTTTATGTCTGCCAGTCGTTTTCGCCGCGTCCATTCGCTTCTTCCCTTCTACTGATCCTCACCCGCGTTGCGTCCATTTCCTTATTGCATTTTGCCCGCTTTCCACTTGCTGATGCTTAGCTACGCCGCCTAAAGTTTGCGTATCGCATCTGGCATTACTTCGCTGGCTCGGTACTTCACTATCCTGCGTCCACTTCGAAGAGATGGTGAATAACGAGGCGCTCGAGCGCAGCGGCGATGGCATCAAGAAAAAACTCACAGGCTTCAATGCCCTGGCGATCAAGGACAACATGAAGCAGTTCCTCGTTTAATTGAACGCCACCATCCCCAGGTTCAAGGACCAGGGTACGGCTGACTGGGAGCAAACCCGAGCTAAAGAGCCGGTATCACGAGCACCTCGAAACGGTATAATCTTGCATCGCTGCATCTACTCCTCGTCCGCTAACTGACCTTCCTTGCAGTCCGCCGAGCTGCCTGTAACGAACACACCTACAACACCCTCAGCGAAGCGCCCAGCAGCGGCGCCACAGTCAGCGGCACCAAAGCGCGTGAAGCGTGCAAAGCAAGCAGGAAGGGGCGAAGAGATCGGCGACAAGACCAGCGATGATACCGAAGCACCACAGCGAACGGCTACAAAGCGCGTGAAGCGTGCCACGCGAACGGAAGAGAGCGAAGAGGTTGGCGACAAGACCATTGACGATACCCAAGACACGATGCAAAGTATGCTCCCGCGTCTGTTCGTGGCAGACGGGGCGCAGCTGTCAACACCTACACTGACCTGCCTCGACGCTCTAGGGTCTCCGCTGAGTGCCGTCGCAGCGCAGAAGCCTGAGAACGAAGATTTGTCGAGCAGACTTTGGCCGCTGGTCGCTCCCATATCCACTCTCATCTCGGCTCGAGATTCTGTCATCCCAATGCACAACTACCTCGATAACTTCGGTCGGCTAGCTGCTGCAATTCGCAAACTTCCGGTCACTGCCCCAGCCTGCTTCAGCTCATTCCTCACTAGCATACACTTTACGGTCGTCGTGGACCGCGGAGACGCAGGAGATACGTTGGCCGTGTCAGAAAAAGAGCCGGAAGACACGAGTCTAGAAGAGGCAGCAGTCATGGCCGAGGTGGGTATCCTGTCGAACGAAGTGAACCGCGCCTTGAGCAGGTGGAGTTCATCCTTCCCTTCGCCGCCCTCCGATTCGATGATGTATCCGGTGGACTTCAACCAGACGGAGAGGACGGAACTCAGAGCCTTCGCCAGGCAGTACATCACGAGGAATTCCCATCTCAGCAAGCTGGGTGTAGTAAGAGAGGTCTTACTTGCTACCAGTAAAGACTTTCGGGCAATCTGGCCGATCGGACGAGGGGGGACGTTGACGACAGCGATCAACCTGTTGGTCGAGGCAAGGAAGAACGTCAATTTTGTCAAGGGCAAGTCTCCGTCTACCAAGAGGGTGGGTGACAAGGAGGAATAGGGCAAGAAGACGGACAAGCCGAAGGCGCAAAGACAGGTGCCAGTGGTGACCGAGGACGACGAGGAGGAATACGAGGATGAGGAGAAGCCGGGAACGCGAAGACGGGGGCCAGTGGTGGTCGAGGAGGATGACGAGGCGGATTATGAGAGTTGATTTGCTGTTGCTGGGGGGGTAATTAGTCAGCCACGCTTTAAGCTTACGCGTCTACAATACAAGCATTGAAATGAGGATATATGCGTACTATCAGCCTGACTATGCTTTCCGAGAGCCGGTCGTGAGTTTTGCAAGATTTATCGTTGTAGTTCGTAATTATTGTACCTCGTCTTAATGTCGCGATAGGAACAGGCCATCTGCAGCAATGAAGCGGGAAAAGAGGGTTGATAATCGACTTTGACCTGGTAACGGGTATTGTTTCGTGAGCTTCTCAACGTTAGCTGAAATTACTTCGGGAGTGCTCTACCCTAATTCTAGATATAAAAGGTTCAAGACTATGCCGTTAGAAGCTGTAAAAAGATGTGGTAGATCTAGCCGCAGGCTGCCAAATCGAACTAGGTGTTAAACGACCTCTCAGGCTCAAGCGCGAAAGATAGAAAACGCATTCTGGAGCCTGGTGAGCAAAAAGAACGACCAAAGGCGAAGAGTGGGCTGCTGTGAAGATTGTCCTGCAAAAAAGAAACAGAGCACACGGAGTCTCGAACTCAGGTCCTGCACACGTGCCTTCTACCAGAATTGAACTAGCGACCTCGTCATCACGTGACGTCCCTTTCGGGACAAGCTCGACTCGATTTGAGTCTTGCGTTACTAGTGACGCGCTCTACCACTGAGCTAAGAAGGCTTTGATGTGATTTGATGAAGTACTGGTAGCTTAACCTCAATATATACGAGAGGTCAATGGATCTTAGAATGCAGACAATGTTCTTTCCTTCAAGCAGACCCGCTTGGAAGACCAGACCCACAGCAGCCGCACTCGCTTAGCTTTAGATGTGGAAGTCGCATACTTCGGCAGGAGGCAGGTGCGAATTAGTCTTTCTGCTGAGCAGAGCCATGGGCGTGAGAAGTAGCAGTTTAAGGTTGCCTGTCTCGTCGCACACCCCATGCGTCAAGCGTCGCGCTTTGTTGTTTTCTAGGAACGTTTGACAAAGGAGGAACACGCTAGCTCTCACTCCGGGCTACTGCTGGTAGCTTCATTTCACGATAGCCATAGTCGGAGTTACTTTACAGCAGCGGATAGATACCCTTGCTACGTTTACTCGCTCGCGAAGAGAGTCGCGTTGGATCAGCGTCGTGCTGTCTTTGTCGATTGAGACGCGATCGCAGATTCAGTGTCAGCGCGCGTGGCAGCGAACGACATCAACACGATCGCATCAGCGACGCAAGCGCATGACATTAGCAAGACATGCAAATATGATGTAAATGAAAGCACGGGGTGGATCTCCGAGTTTGTGTGGAGGTGGATCTGGGGCGGATGACCAGTTAAGCGCAAGCTCATTCACATGCCACCGCGAGCCCGCCAAGGCACCAAATTAAGAACCTGGCGATTGAGCCTCTCCCGCTGATCGCGTTCCTTCCTGCCAAAGCCCCTTCAAACACGACTTCTCCCAACACCACGACACTTCCACGAGACAGATTTACTGCCAGGCTCTGAATCCTGGCTTCGACCATTACCATTCCCAATATTCTACTACAACCATCTATGGGCTCTGCTTCCTTCGCCGCGACCGCTTTCCTACCCACCGCTCAGCTTACCGCAGTTGGCTCCTTCTTCCCCTACACCGCACTGAGCTCAGGCCTGAACAAGACGGACGCCTCCTTCGCATCGCTGGTCCGGCTAGGGGTAGGAGTTCCGCCGTGAATCCTCGCGGCGGACTGTAATATTGGTTTGCCCAAGACCGGCGTTGGATGTGCGCGAACTTCTCTCCGAAGCGTGCGCAAATGCTGACTTGAGCAGAATACGGGCGCAGCTTGGAGAGTGACAACTCTTTATCGCATTACCCCTCACTACCGTTACCATGGTTTTCGCATTCGACCAGAACGATGCCCAACTTCCGGCCAACGCGCCGCGAAACCCTGAACCTGCCATGCCCGAAGACGACATGTTCGCTTCGGTACCCATGGACATGAGCCCGCCCAAAGCGCCCCTCCACGTAGGAACCCCGCCGATCAACATCGTCAGCCCTATGCCACAGCGCGCTTTGCAGCCCGGCCCCGAAGGCAAGCAGCAGGGACCAGACAAATTGGATTTCGACGCCGTGTTCAAGAAGGCTCAGAAGAACAAGAAAAAGAAAAAGAAGGGTCTGAAAGCAGGACTACAAGCTACAAGCGTAACTCGGGGCTTTCACACTCCAGTCACGTCTGGTGGGGAGGAGTCGGACTACTCTCTGGCCACTACACCGCGCTTCGGACCTGTGCGCTCTGGACTTCCCAGCGTCACCAGCAGCCCAGCGCTCAGACCCCAGTCTACTGCGGGAGGCATCAGCAACCTCAAAGCCCAGCTGGAGGCGTTGAACCTAGGCCCAAGGAGCGATTCACCCATGAAGGATTCCCCAGGAAAGGGTGTCGCTATGAGCAGGGTCACATCGCAGTTGTCAAGCAACACCAGCATGTCTGGCCGCGAAAGTGACAGTGACCGTACGGAGATGGAGAGCTACGAAATCGACCTCAACGCAGAAGACTTCAGCATCGACACGCTCTCCAAGACTTCGACCATGTTGAACAGCGGCATGGCCCGCAAGATGACAGCCGAGGACTTTGAGCCGTTGATGTGTCTGGGCAAGGGCAGCTATGGCACCGTCTTGCTGGTCAGGCAGCGCGCGACAGGCCGCCTTTTCGCGCAGAAGCAATTCAAGAAGGCGTCGATCACCGTGCATAAGAAGCTCATCGAGCAGACCAAGACGGAGCGCAATGTGCTCGAGAGTGTGAACCGACACCCCTTCATCGTCAACTTTTACTATGCCTTCCAGGACCAGGAGAAGCTGTACCTCATTCTGGAGTATGCTCAAGGCGGCGAGCTGTTCCACCACCTCGCTGCTGAGCGCATGTTTTCTGAAGACGTAGCCGCCTTCTACATGGCCGAGATGGTGCTTGCGCTCGACCACCTTCACCGCACAGTCGGCGTCATCTACCGCGACCTCAAGCCAGAGAACTGCCTCCTAGACTCCGAGGGCCACCTGCTCCTTACCGACTTCGGCCTCAGCAAAGTCAGTCTTGACGAAGATAGCCCCTGCCGCTCCATCCTCGGTACCGTAGAATACATGGCTCCGGAGGTTGTTCAGGGTCACGAGTACGGTGCGGCAGTCGACTGGTGGTCCCTAGGCGCACTCGGCTTCGATCTTCTCACTGGCGCTCCTCCCTTCACTGGCAACAACAACGCTAAGATTCAGGAAAAGATTGTAAAGCAGAAACTCGCCCTGCCTTACTACCTCAGCGCCGACGCCAAGGACCTCCTCACTCGCCTCCTCCGCAAAGACCCAAAGAAGCGCCTAGGCTTCAACATGGCCAAGGATCTGCCGAATATCAAGAAACACCGGTTCTTCCGCAAGGTCGATTGGAAGAAGTTGGAAGCGAGGGAGTTGGAGCCGCCGATCCAGCCACTCATTACGGATCCGGAGTTGGCAGAGAACTTTGCCCAGGACTTTACCGATCTGCCGCTGAGTCCTGTCCTGACGAAGAAGTTTGACGACTTGATGTTTGAGAGCCAGGCTTCTAGCAACCCTTTCGGGGGTTTCAGCTTTGTGGCTAGTCAGAGCCTGTTGGATAGTGGAGAGTGGGGATATTAGAGGGATAGGAGGAACATTGGCTTTAGTGTTTTTGTTTTCTGCATGCTTGTTTATACCGTTGCTCGAGACAAGATCGTAATAGAGCACCATCACTACGCGACAATACAGGGTTCAAGATCAATGGTTACTAGATAGAATTGTGTTTTCGTAGGTTGCTAAACCATCTTATTCCAAACTCCGTGCTCGTGCCGTCATCGGTATCATGCGCAAGTATTCATACAGACTTTAAACCAAGTGGGAATCGTTGAATCGAAAGAAATGTCGTTCCAGTCCTCCGTCGTGAGCACTTAAGGTGTTCGTATCTAGGAAGTAGGGGCAGCAGCGGCGGCGTAGGACTCGCCGCTCTTCTCGTTGCTACCCTCGGCGGGCTTCTCGCTGAGCTCAGTAGCGACACCGCCCTCACTGGCAGGCTTCTGCTTCTTAAGGTCGGCCAAATGCCTAGCCTCGTTGTGGACGTCCATGACGGTCTTGTTACCCTGCTCGTAGAAAGCACGGAGCTTCTGTCCGGTGGGTGTGGACGCAGCCTTGTCGAAGTAGCTGGTCATCATGTTGAAGGCAGCGTAGCCCTTGTTTGTTATGCCCAACTTCTGGTCGACGACCTGCGCCTTCTGTGTAGCCTGGGTCTTCTGGTCGAAGTTGTTGAGGACGTTCATGAACTTGGTGCTGTAGCCGTTCTGCTTGTCCGCTGCGAGGGCCTTCTCGATGGCCGTGTCGGAGATGGCATAGCCGTGGGCGAGGTACTCGGCGATGATGCGTGCGCGGGGCTTCTGCTCCTGCTCGATGTGGTGGTCACCGTCCTTGGCGTCGTCGGCGGAGGCGGACTTCTCGCCGGCAATCTCGTCGATGCTCTTAGCGGACGTGACCTGGACCGAGTTGTGGCCGAGCTGTGTGTTGTCGAGGAGGAGGGCCGTCTTTGCGGCGGCGGCCTTCTCGAAGGTTACCGAGGCAGACTGAGTGTCGTCGCCTGAGGGCTTTACGCTGAGCGACTGGATCTTTCCGCAGAAGGAGAAGAAGCTCTTGATCTCATCCTCGCTGGTCTTGGTGGAGATGTTCTCGACGTTGACAGTGGCAGCCATCTTGATGTATGTGTAAGGTGTTCTGGGAGGGATTTGAATGTAGTGGTATAGTGGTTGAGGGGTGTTGTGAGTCTTTGAGTGATGCGGTGGACAGGGTGTGTTGGCGAAAGGGACTATTTGTAGCAAGAGGGGTATGCAGCAACCTGCCAGTTCAAGGAGGGCGCAGCCTAGCAACACGCATGGGCGATGACGTACGCGGGGCGGTGCTAGTGGCGTCTAGATGCCCACAGCTGGCGGGAATCTTCACGAAGCGCCTCTTGGGCCGTCTTGCATGTGAATCTCTACCATTGCTTCTTCGTGCGTAGTTTATGGCGCAGGCTGTGGCGCATCGTTGCCCGTTGCCTGATGCGAGTATTCTTGCGAGCTTAGGAGAAACAGTGCATCATAGCCCATCTGGCATCTAGAGACTTGGGCTGAAGGCGACACTCGGAACCCGCGCTACCTTTGCATATTGAGTTTGAATTCATCCTGTCAAAACATTCGCGCATCAAGAATTGTTATAGGCCTGCACTGTATGTACTGTCGAAAGTGATACCTGTTAAGAGCTCCATTGCTCCACCAAACCTCGGCTTTAGCAAACGTCATAGCTCCGTCTTTCCAAAACATCTTCCATGAGCTCCGCAGGCTTCCAATTCACATCACTCCCATAGTGTCTACGCCACTCACAATGGCTACCAAACTCATCTCGCCGTCTCCGCGATTAGCGCAGTCATGTCTGCGCCGCACACGACACCTAGCCCCGGCCGTATCGCGACTTCCGCAGCGCCGCTACATCTCCGCATACGGCTACGAGCAAGCCAAAGCCCTCACATTCTCCGAATATGGCGAGCCTCCCGCTGTGCTTTCCCTTCACGGCCATTCCATCTCGCCACCGCATAGCAACTTTATGACATTGCGCTTCCTCGCTTCCCCCATCAATCCCGCCGACATCAACCAGATCCAAGGCGTATACCCTTCGAAGCCGACCTTCACCACCAACCTAGGCACACCCAACCCAATCGCTGTCGCCGGAAATGAAGGAGTGGCGGAGATAATAGCATTGGGCGAAGGAGTCAAGAAGGAAGGCTTCAAGAAGGGCGACTGGGTCTTCATGAAAGGTCCTGGCTTTGGTACATGGCGAACACACGCAAGCGCCACCACGAACGACGTAGTCAAGCTCGACGACCAGATGCGCGAAGGCATTACCGCGATCCAGGCCGGCACCGTATCCATAAACCCATGCACAGCATACCGCATGCTTCGCGACTTCACAACGCTCTCGGAAGGCGAGTGGTTCATACAGAATGGAGCAAACTCAGGTGTCGGACGTGCCGCCATTCAACTAGGCAAGAAGTGGGGTTACAAGAGCATCAACGTGATCCGTAGCCGGGAAGACAAGAGCAAGGAAGAAGCCATGAAGAAGGAACTTCACGAGCTGGGCGCAGACGTCGTCATCACGGATGCAGAATTGCAATCGCAGGGCATCAAGGACCAGGCCAAAGAATGGACAAATGGCGGTCGCGCACCCATTCGTTTGGCATTGAACTGCGTGAACGGTAAAGCAGCTACCGCAATGGCTAAACTACTTTCTTCCTCTTCGCACTTCGTTACCTACGGCGCCATGTCGAAGCAGCCTTTGACTATTCCCGCGTCGATGCTCATCTTCAAGGACATCCACTTCCACGGCTTTTGGGTAAGCAGGTGGGCGGAAAAGCACCCCGAGGAGAAGCAGAAGACAGTCGCCGATGTATTGGATATGACACGCAAGGGCGAGTTCAGGGATATGCCTGTTGATGAGATCAAATGGGAGTGGGATACCAAGGGCGACGAGCTGATAGGCAAGGTCAAGGATACTCTTGAGGGCTACAGAGACGGCAAGGGGATTTTCGTGTTTGGTAAGACGTAGACTTTGTAACCTTCAAAGATACATACATTTCCTGGATTTGTACATATGTCCAGTTGTGTGGTCGTAAGACTATGTTACTGTCCATCGAGCTCTATTGCAAGAACACCCTCGATCCATTGTTTGGCAGGGGCGCCCTGAACAGCACGAACGGTCTCTCTCTGTTGTCCGTACCAGGATAGAAGGACGAACTGAAAGCAAGCTGGTTGTCAGTGAAGTAGAGATAGCCATCGCTTCCCACGGACACTGTAGCACGTCAGTCTCTCATCCAAAAATGATCAATGTAATACAAGGAAGACTTACTAGTATCAACCCAACTAATCCTCGGGTCCCTCACAAACAACGCCATAGACGCATTCTTCGGGTTATGGAACCCAATCTCATTCTGTTCCATATTGCCCGCATAGATGAACCCATTCGTATCCGTCTCAAACCCATCGCTCACACCCCTCTCACCCCGATTATTCACTGCACCCAGCGCCAAAAGCTCAGACGCCTGGCTGCGGTCCCGCAGACGCTCGGTGGGAATACTGTATAGAGTGCGCCCACCAACAGGGCCGAAGTACAGGTGCTCTCCATCAGCGGACAAGGCGATACCATCGCTTCCCAGCGGAACAGTGGTAAGTGGTAGACCAGGACCAGGAATGTAGTATTTCGGTTCGCCCCAGACATATGGCACGAAACCCCGCTCCGCTCTTGACTCTTGTGCGCCGTCGAGGTGGCGCCAGCTCTCGCCTGTGCCTAGGTCTACGATGACGATGCCGTTGCGGCCCTCGGATGAGGAGTCGGTGATGTAAGCGACTCCCTTGCCGGAATCGGTGACGTGAGGGCGCAGGTCGAAGCGCACATCATTGAGGTATGAGTCTGGGTATGCGACTGTGGGCGGGAAGACGATGGTTTGAATTACCGTGTCGGATTCAATGTCTACCCCGATGAGCTTGGGACCGCCAGGGGATGCCAGAACGAGGGTGCCTTCTTCGGTTAATGCGCGGCCAGTGTCCAGGATCCAGAGTCGGTCTTGGGGGTCGAGGACAACACTCTGGACGCCGATAAGGTAGTTTTGGTAGTTTGCGCCTGTTGGTGGGGTGGTCGTGTAGTTGATAGCTCCATTTGGTGTATTGTTGATTTCTACACTTGGATACGGTGTTTCGGTGCCGTTGGAGGTGAGCTCTGCTACGGCATGTCTGTTGTTGGTGCCGGTATTGGTGTTGTTGGGATCAAGACCTGCTGGGTAGTTTGAGAATTTACGACCGCCTTTTGAGACCGTGATACCTGGGACTGATGTTAGTCGTCGTGTGTTTGTGAGAATGCTACGGTGTATTGGTACCAGTAGGCCATTGATCGTTGTAGAGATGGACAATCTCAAGAGGTGGGCCGGCAACACCGGGGTCAGAACGAATGCGTTGTGCGCTGGATAGCGCGGGAAGCAGAGCGCTCAACGTCAATACTGAAAGAGATAGCATGTTGGACGCAACGACAATCTAATGGTGGATACCCAAGAGGGCAGCATGATGCTCGACATCACAGTTTATATAGCTACGATTTGCAAGCGCGAACTGTAAACATTACCTCACAGGTACCTGAACGTAAGTTTTGCGGCTCGGCATTCTTAGTCTTCAACGTCATGAACATGTCAGGTACCAGGATAAAATTGAGGAGCTATTGACCTCGGGACGATCTGATGTGGATTGAGGCTGCACGTAGGGAAGCTATCCGGATATGGCCTAACTTGTCGGCGGCTCACCCCGCTTTTGCTGGGTGCAGGTGTGATGCAACGACATTGGCGCTATGTGATGCACGTTCAAGATGGTAACAGTTCCGCCTGATCTGATATGATTTCTTACTGATGTACATTTACTACTTTTCGCCCCAACGTTGTCTAACCAACCCACTCTTTGATGACTTCTTTCAGAGAAGCATTGTCGCCTGTCTCACGCCAAGTATGCGACTGCTCACCGTCTTCGGCTTCTGACGTAGCATCTACCGCTAGCGCAGTCACCTTGAGCTCCCCGTCATTGAAGTCGACTCTGATGTCCCTTGTAGACTTGGTGCCTTTCTTGGGTTCCTTGCTTTGACGAATCGACAGCCGTGGGTTCTGAGTTCTCGTCAGCGCGCGCGAGCCATACTCGCTCTTCAAAAGTCTATGCGCGATATGTAAGGACAGGATCCAGTCCAGATATGACTTCAGCTCCTCGACAGTAGCAAACTTGTGTTGCTGGAATAAGCCAAGATCGGAGCTCAGAGTGGATGGAAGGGTCAGCTTGTGCTCTGTGCCAAACGTCGGTTGACCAATGATTGTGCGTGTAACGACGACCAGACTCTCTGGCTGTGTGCCAGTTGGCGTGGGTAGGGTCAATGTCGCTTTCCCATCGAACGGCTTCATAAAGATTTCAAGCAACTGATCGGTGGCGGACATGCCTTTCTTTGGCGTCGTCTTCAAACTCCCCGTTAGGTTCGCCCAAGACGTCTCACGCGTGGTATCCAGGCTCGCGTCAAGGCCTGCGTTGTTCAGTGTTTTGGCAACGAGACCAAGATAGACGTAAAGCGAGTCGACACCTGCAATGTGGTTTGATACAGCAAGCAGGGTGCGCAGCAAAGGTGGAGGAGGCTTATCCCGCTTTTGGCCTGTCAAGGGAGGTGGAAGCTGCGATCTCCTATAGAGACGCATGCTATGCTCATGGGCTAGAAGCAGGCGGAGCGCCTCGGCGATGTTGCGAGCCAGCCAATCGTACTCATGCCCTTGGTTGCTCGCTATAGGATCGTCCCGGGGTATGCAATCGATGAGCAGTTTTCGATCTTGCGTTGCATTGCCTATGCTAGGCACGTCTATCTGAATGACAGAATCCCGAAATTCGACACCGTACGCTCGCAATTGCCGAGTTTCGAGACTCATTTCGTAGTACAGTTCTTCCTCTAGTAATGAATCACGGGCAAGTTGTATAGACTTCTCCAGAGACTGAGCCGCGTTTTCGCCGTCGAGAGGGAGTTGTGATGTGCCTGTCATCTTGCCGTCGACACTGATTCGCACGCGGAATGTCTTCGGTTTGAGCGCGAGACTCGGATCGAGAATGATGCTGCCGTCCTTGTCCATCTGAAGAGGGGCAAAGCCACGCGCTTTAAAATGACCGCTTGCTGAAACATTGTTAGCCTGAGGAAAGCGACGCGACGGATGAGCAATATTTACCTTCGGGGAGTCCATAACGCACGGCGAAGGGCGAATGGCGTACATTCTGGCGCAGTCGCTGGATGGGCCACCCCTTGTCGGAGACGGACACTATCTCATGCCAGTACTTCGTCTCTCGCCGTATCTCCTTCTCCAAGTGTTTTGCGGCCTTCAATATCTCGTCTACCGAAGAGTCCAACGCCCCCATGCGTGCTCCCTGAGCAGCTATTTCTTGTTTGGACGCGAGATCTTGTAGCCGTTGTACCTCGTCCGGCTTGCGAGTGCGATGTTCGTGGTTTTCCTTGCTCATGCCGAAAGAGCCGAGTGGTATGCCCTGGTTCAAGCCTTGCTCTCGAAACGTCGGACTGAAGAAGTTGAGGGCGCGCTTGTTTGGGTCTTGGGAGAGGATGAGGGAGACGAGATCGAGCGCGTTCGTCGCAGCGAATTTAGCCCATCTGTCTTTGGTCAGTATGAACCCCGATACAACGCGTTCGCGTTCGGACGTACTCCAGATGGCTATACATCTCCTGCCCGGCTTTGAACACCTTCTCTAGCTGCTCCTGCCGAGAAGGCGCTTCTTTCTCCTTCTTCTCCTTATCAGCTCCCTCTGCAGCATCGTCCGGTACATCTTTGCCCGCGTCAATGTCCTCCTGTAGCGACTGTTCGGTGATGTTGCGCAAATGCCCGCGTTCGCTCGCTAGCTGCTCGATCTTGAACAGCAGGTCATCCTGCGTCAGCTCCTCCTTCTTTGGGGCCGGCCAGGGGCGCAGAGCCACGTTGTTCAACGATGAGTCCATCTTGACTGCGACTCTGGAGGCAGCCGGGTAGCTTGGGCGACGCTGGCTGGGTTCCTGTGGTTTGTCCGACACGGTGGGCCCTTGCATAAAAGCCGTCCCCCAGTAGCGGCCGTTGCAGATCGCCGCTTATCGATTGCGGCTTCACCCATGCAACCCACGAATGGCACACGTTGCACGCGCAATCGTGGATCAAAAGCAAGGTAGCTGTAGCTTTGGAGAGGGGGAACAAGCAGCTTACAGGTGTTAGTGTACCGTCGCGCGGGGATGTCACCGGGTCACATGTGCATGGCCCCTTCCCTCTCCAGCCACTAACGGCGGTCTCCGATAAGCTTGGACAGACAGCTTAGGTTACAGTGACAACTCAGTCACAGTGTCCTTCACTTCTCCTCATTCCTCCTTCACCGATTGAGACTTTGCAAAATGACTACCAGATACCGCGTAGAATGTAAGTCCCAACCACGACTACAATCCCCAAAGGTCGACTTAGCGACAAGCATGCTAACTTGATGGCTTCCCGTGTGGCAGATGCCCTCAAGGTGTGTACAAGTTACAGTGACAACCATCTACCTTCAAATAACTAACTTATCCGGAAAGACCCACAGGAGAGATCAGCTCGTAAGTATCCTGTGATGCCTAACCAGTATGTCTAGCTAATGTACGACACAGATAGAGTGGATCAAGGTAATGCTCTTTCTGCTTGTAAGACAACGCGAGCTACATACTTATACTGCCTCAGGGTCTCCTAGCCGTGCCTTTTGTCCTACACTCCCATCCAACAGCGGTATTCGAGCCCAGCGATGAGTCAGTCGAGCACCAAGCCAACATCGCTCAACGGCGGTATGCCGAGATCCTACGCGACGTTGAAGAGATCATCAACGACCACAGTATGTCATGAACCCATTGAAGCCGTGCGAGTCCGGGTGGTCTACGGTGAAATCGCAGGGCTAACACAACTTAGTCCAACACCAGAAAGACGGCAAACCCGACAGATCAAAGTTGAAGCTTCTCGTTCCAACAGTAGCGAACTTCTTCACGTCCTTAGC